CCGCAGCTCGGCCCCCCCCCCCCAGCAGACCAGGCTTTTCTCGCCGCTACTGGACCAACCCGGCAGCACCCCAGCTGCTCTGCCCCAGGTGTTCCCAAGTCAGCCGCTGCTGAAACTGACCAAAGGCTGACTACAGGAAGCCCGAGGCAGAGTTGCTCTGCCCCGGGCTTCCTGGAATCTGCCGCTGATCAGTTTCAGCAGTGGTGGACTTGGGGAAGCTGGAGGCAGAGCAACAGGGGTGCTGCCAGGTTGGTCCTGCAGCACCGCCCTCTTCCAGGCTGCGCAGTTCCCTGCCGACCTGCCCCTCACCCCAAACTCCTCATAGCCCGCCTTCCAGTACTCCGGCATATCTGATAATCCGGCACCCGCTGGGTCCTAAAGGTGCCGGATTATCGGAAGTTTACTGTATATGCTCTGTTAGTCTTTAGAGTGCTACTAGACTATTTGTTGTTTTTTAAGTTTTTCCTGTTGCAGACTAACTCGGCTACCCCTCTGAAGCTGTAAAAATATCATTAGGAAGGCCAGAAAGGAAATTGAAAAATAGTTAGCCAAAACCTGAAAAAGTAATACTGAAAAAGTACATCAGAAGTCTGCTAAACAAGCCAGTGGGGTCACTAGATGATCGAGGTGCTAACGGAGCATTCAAGGATGATAAGGTCACTGTGGAGAAACTAGATGAATTCTTCGCATCTGTCTTCACAGCTGAGGACAGGAGGGAGATTCCCAAACCCAAGCCACTCTTTTTAGTTGACAAATCTGAGGAATTGTACCAGATTGAGGTGCCATTAAAAGAGGTTTTGGAACAAATTAATAAACTAAACTGTAGTCACCAGGACCTGATGGCATTCATCCAAGAGTTGTGAAAGAATTCAGATGTGAAATTATAGAATTATTAATCGTTGTTTGTAATCTATCCTTTAAATGGTCTTCTGCACCAAATGACTTGGCAGATAGCTTATGTGACACCCATTTTTAAAATGGGCTTTCAAGGTTATGCTGACAACTACTGGCCAATAAGTCTAGCGTCAGTACAAGCAAATTGTTTGAAACTATAATAAAGAACAGAATCAGACACATATGTGAACATAATTTGTTTAAGAAAAGTCAACATGGTTTCTGTAAAAGGGGAAATCTCAGTGGTATAGCCATGTTAGTCTGTATCTGCAAAAACAATGAGGAGTCCTGTGGCATCTTAGAGACTAACAGATGTATTTTATTTCCTAGGTTTCCTAGTTCGAACTACCGTTACTCCTCGTGAAATGGAAACCTAGTTCGAACTACCTAGTTCGTGCCCCGTGTAGCCGCGCTGCACGGGGTTCGAACCAGCGGGGTTTTAAAAATGGCGGCTCCCCGCTTATGCAAATGAAGCCCGGGAAATTCAAATCCCGGGCTTCATTTGCAAGTGCGGTATGCCTACATTACCCTCCTAGTTCGAACTAGGAGGGTAGTGTAGACATACCCTAAGGTACCACGGGACTTCTCATTGTTTTTGCAAAGGGAAATCATGTCTGACCAATCTGTTAGGATTCTTTGAGGGAATCAACAAAGCATGTGGACAAGGGGGATCTGGTGGATCTAGTGTACTTAGATTCCCAGAAATCCTTTGATCAGATTCCGCACCAAAGGCCCTTAAGCAAAGTAAATTGTCATTGAATAAGAGGGAAGGTGCTGTCATAGATTGGTAACTGGTTGAAAGAGAGGAAACAAACGGTAGGAGATCGGAAAGAGAAGAAATAAATGGTCAGTTCTGATAATTTCAGTTCCATCAGAACTCTTTTCACAGCAGTGTCATTCTACCTGGATCCACATGTGCATCTCCATTCTATCTGGACTTCTGTCTGCTTCTCTTTTTGGGCTACAGATTCACTTCCTCTTTAAAGATTGTTGAAAAATAGCTCGCCGCAGCTATAAACCATTGTTTTATCCAGTTATTGTTTGTTAAATTTGCTGCACACTTCATCAATGGTCTGCAAGTCAATTTAGGAGTTTATTCCTGTGGCAGGTGTAAGATTTTTTTTTAATCGTAATGCTTAAGAGAATCATGCTTTTTATAATTGGTTAAGCACAAATTCAGCATTAAGACTATTTTCCTATACATTCCTTAGCAAGAATTGTGAATTGCTTAAAAATGCCCCCCCATCCCCGTATGAGAAGAAGCAATCATGTTCACTGAAATTAAGAATCTGAATGTTGAAATATAGAAACTTACATTTGCTGATGCTCTGTATCCATGAGGTCTAACTGTGGAACTAAGTGGAAAATACCTCTGGGAATAGATGTTTGGGAAGATGACTATTGAATAACTATTATAATACTTATTTAGATTCAGTAACATTCTGGTTTATACTGTCTAATAAACTGACTTGAATGTCTTGAACTAAATAATAATTGCTTTTACTTAATGAGTTTCACCAAATCTAAAAAAGTGAAGATCTGAAATCTCTCATTTGAGAATTGTAATTAGTGCTGCTCTTGATTTGTTAGTAGGAGTTGAGACTTGTTCAACAAATGTTCTTGCTGAGTCCTGAAAAACTTCTAAAGAGCTTGAAATTTTTTCTTCAGTTTATTGTGCAAACTTAAATTGGAAGGGATGATTGTGAAAGAATTGCCTATAATTATGTGCTTCTTGCAGCCAAGAAATGGTGTGTGCTGTCCTGTCTTGAATATAGATTTTTTTTTTTGCTTTTATAATAATTTTAAACTATTTGTTATGAATTTGCAGTGTACTCGTCAGATCATTTCTGAGAAACTGGGCCGAGGCTCAAGAACAGTAGACCTGGAACTGGAAGCCCAAATAGACATATTGAGAGATAACAAAAAAAAGTATGAAAATATCTTAAGACTGGCGCAGACTTTGTCCACCCAACTCTACCAGATGGTTAACACCCAAAGGCAACTTGGAGATGCATTTGCAGACCTTAGTTTGAAATCATTGGAACTCCATGTAAGATTTTAATAGTATTAGAAAATGAAATATAAATTTGAGGAGGAACTTCATAGGCTTATGCATGTTGCATAGTAGATAACTCTTTAATTTGTAGGAAGATAGCTGTCATGTAATAGTATCTGAGACTCTGAAAGAAATAATTGCAATTACAGTATTTCTTGATGTCTGGCTTTAACTGGAATTTGAACTAAAAAGGACTTAACATACAAATGTACTCGGTATAATAAACACTTTTGTTACTAAAATTGTTCAAGATCATCATTTCCTGTAAAATACAACAAGCTGTGTTGTAAATGTTTGGGAATAAAGGGAATTAATGCAAAAGAGGTGACATTAACAACATATAATTTTTTTAGCAAATTAAAATGTTGAATTCCGTTGTTTCCTGGAGCAACATTTTGATCAGAGCTTTGCACCTGTATAGTATGAGAACCCGTTCCTTTTATAGTGTTTAGACTTTTCTAGTAACAATGTTAGAGCTAATTGTGTAGCAATCTTACGTTCAGAATTATAGCTTACATTATTCAGGCAATATTGTTGTAACTCACCATATAATTCTATGTCTTTTATAAATTCAGTGGATGGTAGTTTTCATCTTAAACTCTCTACTGAGTTTAACCTTTTGATGGAAGGATGTCTTTTGTATTGATTCCCTCTTTTCAAGGTCTATTTATTTTCAACAGGGATGTCACGGTGGTTGTTAGAGAACTGAACTCCATTTTTAATTATAATCAATGTCAGGATGTAACTATAGCTGTCCTCAATCCAGAGAGGATTTCCATTAATGTTTATATGAGGTACACACAAAGAACATGAGTAGAATGTGTCCATCAGTAATAACAAAATTTTTATTTATTCAGTACTCTGGGCATGTGTACACTGCGTTCCTCTTTCGAGAGGAATGCAAATGCAGACGAACGAAATTGCACATGAAGCGTGGATTTGAATTTCCCGTGCTTCATTTGCATAATCGCGTCCGGGCACTATTTCGAAAATAAATTCTGTGTATACGCAGTTATTTCTAATGAAAACCCTTCTTTCGAAATAATCCTTAAACCTCATTTTATAAGGGTTATTTCGAAACAAGGGTTTTCTTTCAAAATAACCACGTTCGTCTGCAATTTCGTTCATCTGCACTTGCATTGCTCTCTCGAAAGAGGAATGCAGTATAGACATACCCTCTGTTACAATGTAAGCAATGTAATAAGCCTCCTTTTAGCTTCACTGTGTTTGAGTATCCATTTCTTCCCCATCTTTGTCTCTGGTTGTTTCTTTTTCTGTTTTTTCCTCTGCATCCTCTTTTCTCTCAGCTTCATTCACTAATCCCATCCACTAAAATTATTGGGTATAAAACAGTTAATGTTAACATTTTAAGAGACCGAATTTGGCATTAGTAGTTATACTCTGGCATTGGTTACACTAGGTTCACACTTTCACAACCATGGTAGCTAGAAATTTACTTGGTTAAATGAAAACTCAAATTATGCGTAATCTAAAGATGCCATATGGGAAAAACAAATACATCAATAAGGCTGGTATATGGGAGTCTTGCATTATAAGAATCCTTGCAATCTGACATTAACATATTTTACTATTGATCAATTGGTCATTGCCATTTGTTATACCAAAATTTGATTGCAGTTCTCTCTTGGCAATAACTTCCGTTTTACTCGTGCCCCCTTAACATTTGTAGCTAATCTGTATGTATTACTGCTTTTTTCTCACCATCCATTATGATAGTACATTTCTGCTGTCTCAGTCACTTATAACACACTACAGCTTGGACTTCCCTGCTCCAGCATCCTTGGGACCTGAGCAGTCCTGGACCAGGGAGTTTGCTGGACTAGGGGAGATCAATGCTCCCCTGCTGGCTGCTGCATTACCAGCTCCTTTCCTTGGGGCTGCCAAGGCAGGGGGTCCCCACTCTGCTGCTGCCCGCTAACACGGGCTCATTTGCAGCTCCCCATCCTACTGCCTGCCCGCTGCTCCTAGGGGTTCCCCTGCCACGGCCAGCTCCATTTGGCTGCTGCCTGCCCCATCACCTTGGGAGTTGCCTGGAGTTCCTCAGCTGGGGCTTTGAGGCTGGCCCCACTGTGGCCAGGGATTCCCTGGCCAGGGCTAGAGCTCCCTGGCACTTGGTCTTACTGCCGCTAATTCTCCCTACCCTGCGGCTGCCAGGGGTTCCCCAGCCAGCTCCTGCTCCCAGTCTCCAGGGCTCTTTGGTCTAGCAACATCTGTGGCCCTGCTGGACACGGATGTTGCTGGATCAGAGAGTCCTCATTTCATGCACATCCTTTTTTCCTGGAACAACCAAACCTTGCTTTAAGTTATGATAAGAGGAAACGACACACCAAATTTGTTGGTCCTAACTCTTACCATTTAAAAAGAGTTCTTACACATCTGTCTGCACGTCTGTTTGTTCATTTCTGGAATATATAGTAAGGTTAAAATAATTATCAATTGTAGTGTTCAACATTTTGTTCCAGGATTTGACAATCCTTGTTCAATAATTAATACTGATTACCCCTCTAGCAATTTAGTTAATTACTCTTAATTTGGCTAGTATCATTCATGGTATTACAGTTGTTAGTAAGGGAGACACTGAATTTAGGCTAATTCTAAGTGGTTATAAAATGATTCACTGAAGATTTGGCAGTATTCTTTGAAGTGATATTAAGATAATTTTTTTAACTGTTCACAATAAAACTGGTATTAAGCATGGGTTCCATCTATCCTCTTGGGAGAAATTCTACTGAAATGAGTGGAGTTTCAAGGAAAAAGCTTCAACAGTTGCTTTTAAAGGTCTAAAACAAAGGGGTAGTTGTGATTCTCAGCTTAATTTGTTTTCTAGAATACTGTAATCAGTTACATACATTTAAATATGCACGCTCAAATAGCAGTGATGAAATTACATACAACATAGTCTACCATATACATGTTAATTTAATTTTAAACTACATATTTTTTGTTTGTTCTTTGTGATAGGAGGAATTTGGATACAATGCAGATACTCAGAAACTTCTAGCTAAAAATGGAGAGACGCTTCTTGGTGCTATTAACTTTTTTATTGCCAGTGTGAACACATTGGTAAATAAAACAATTGAAGATACGTTACTGACTGTGAAACAGTATGAAAATGCCAGGTATCTATTTTGTGTCATCAGTATTTTCGTTTATTGTACACTCTTCAGGTTTATGTTCTACTGCTTGAATCAGTAATCAGTGTTGAAAAGTTTATAAATATAACACAGCTTTTGTATTTTAATTTATGACTATATTCAGACTTTAAACTTATATTTCATAATGAGGTTTGAAATTCAAACATACAAGACATTTTCTGTTAGAATAATTTCTGAAAGATCTGTGCTTTTTTTTAGGCCATGTCTGCACGAAAAAGTATCGATACAGCTGTGCTGCTGTAAGATTGCTTGTGTATCCATGCTATCCTAACAGGAGAGATCTCATGTTGACATCATAACCACCTAATCTAATGGCAGTAACTATGTCAGCAAGAGAGTGTCTCTTGCCAATATAGTTCTGAGCACTATGCCAGCAAAATCTGTCACTTTTTACACATCTGTCAGTGACATAAGTTTTGATAACATAAGGGGTAGCGTAGACATGGCCTTAGTGTTTCCTGCAAGATAAAGATGGATGATTTTTCCCCCAAGTAGAATAATAGAAATTAAGAATTCTGGATGGCTACAATTAGTTATATATGAAGTAGTGTTTCTTAATGAGAAATGAAATACTCTTCCAGTACCTTTTCATGCATTCTTTAGCTAACTGGTTACCCACTCTAAAGACACCTGTAGTAAAGGTATAGCTTGGTGGCAACAAAGCCAGATTATTAAAACAATATTAGTAACTTTAGATCTCTTTTGAACTAGCCTGGATTCAAACTGACATACTGGAGATGACTGGCTTCTAATCTCTCGACTGAATACCTAAACCATTCCATCCCCTGTCTTTAATGGGTTAACAGTTTACTTTGAATGGAATAAAAAAAAATTATTTCAAAAGATTACACCAGTTACTTTCTTATGATGTTCAAGCATGGGACAATGTTGTGCTTTTCACAAAACGACTAGGATTAGTGTGCTAATGCTCAGTGGTTAGTGTTCATAGACTAGAGTAATGACACTCAGACCTCAGTGATTTAGGAACCAAATTAGAAATCATCATTACCCAAAAGAGCCACGGTAGTGTGAACACATTGTTTCAATTACTATTTGTGTATGTGTGTGCACGCGCACATTTTATATATTTTATAAATTTTATATATATACACTTGGAATTACTATTTATCAACTACAGTTGGTTAATAACATAGTAAAAGCATCCTGACTTAATAATTAAATCTCACAGTTCCAATATCATGTGCTGCACAGAGCCGCTTCAGTCAGAGTAACTCTGTATGAGAGTTTAACCTTCCTTGGCAGCCTGATCTTACTTCTATAAGAATTTTGCCTTTGATTTCAATAGATGGACTAGGCCCCAAATAGTACATACATTCACATTTGGAAAACACTGTTGAGCCCACTTTATAATTTAAAAATTTTCATATGTATTAAGGATGTTAGTAAGTACTTGTTTACATCACTAACTGATAAGCCTGGGTTCATCAGTTAGTCCTGATGGTTATGCATGCACACACACCTCCTTGCTGCCTCTGTATCACAGGCAGCAAGGGGGAAGGCAGGAGCTGGTGTCTGTAGTGAGTGGCCCGCGGAGCTGCTTCCCTCCCCTGGCTACCACCCACAGAGGCAGCAAGGTGGGGGAGCAGGTGGGATCTGGCTTGAAAGCTGGCTCCCGATGAGCATCGGCTCCCACAGATCTGCCTGCCCCCACCACTCCAATGCTGCTGCTGCTGCTTCTCACAGAGGTAGCAGCAGGGGAAGAGGGGGGAACGTGGGAGTTGGTACATGCAGGAAGCCGGCTTTCAAGCTGGCTCCCTGCAGGTACAGGCTCCATGGAACTGGTTCTCCACCCCACCCCACCCCACTACGGCCTCTGTTATGGGGGGCAGGCAAGAGCTGGTATGCATGGGGAACTGGCTCCTGCGGAGCCACCAGTGTCCTTCCTCCACCCCTTCACCTCCCCACAGAGGCAGCAGCGCAAGGGGGCAGGAGGGAGCCAGTGCCTGGAGAGAACACATCTTAAAAGGTGGTTCCCTGTGAGCACTGGCTTCTGCCTGCCCTACTGTGTGTAAATGTGTAACTGCTAAAAAATTCAGCTGTTAAATGTTTACAAAAATTAATGTTTTTTAACATCCGTAATATATATGCCAAACATTTTCTAGCAGGAGAATAAAATAATTGGTACGTGTTGTGATTTCTTTCCTAGTCCCTCTTAATGTGTCTCAGTAGCTCTTCGCATTGCAAAACTTGAATTGTAGAAATTTATGTAGTCATCTAATTTTTAGTAATAGGTTTTCTTTGCTATAGAGTCAGGTATTCATGATAACTAACAAACAGTTTTCTCATAGTAGTGTAATACATTCATGTGCAGACAAGGGTGAAGGAATTACTCCTGTTGCTTGGTTTTATTAAATCTTTTGAACTGTCTGTTCTAC